AGGTTTTTTAGAATAAAAACAGACCATGGGTCTGGAGAGATGGCTCAGCAGTTAAGAACACTGGTTGTTCTTGCAGAAGACCCAGGGTCGAATCCCAGCACCCACATGGCAGCTAACAACTGTCTGTTACTCCAGTCCCAGGGGATCCGACAGCCTCTTCTGACCTCCACGGGCATTGCACAGCACAGGTGCACTTACCTACATGCAGGCAATACACATGTACACATTAAATTTTTAAATTTTTTTTAAATAAAATAAAAACAGACCAAGCTGAAGGTGGAGTTGCAGATGGGGAAAGACTTCAGCAGGTGAAAGTTGGGGCATCACATGGGCAAGAACAGGCTTTTTACATGGAAACTGGGGGGGTCCAAACTCAGGTTCTCATGCTTGTGTGGCCAGCAATTTACTGACAGCCATTTCACAGCTCCTGTACTTCTTCTTTTGAGAACTGTCTGTTCAGTGCACTTGTCTATTTATTAAAAGGCACTTTGGGGTTGTTTTACAGTGTTTAATTTTTGCAGTCTTTTATATATTTGAGATATTAATCCTTGTCTGAAGTATGCCTAGCTAGGATTTTCTCTCATTCTGTTTCTTGTTTGTTTATTTATTTGTCTTTTTTTTCTTTGAGACAAGGTCTTGCTGTAGCCCCAGCTGAACTGGAACTCACTATGTAGACCAAGCTGGTCTTGAAATCATAGAGATCCGTCTGCATCTGACTCCAGAGTGCTGGGACTAAAGGCGTGCGCTACCACACCCGGCTTTTTTTTTTTCTTTTAATATGCATGAGTGTATTGCCTGCATGTGTGTAAGTGCACCTGTGTCCTACAATGTGGTGGAGATCAGAAGGAGGTGATGGATTCCCCTGGAACTGAAGCTACAGAGAATTGTTAGCCACTTTGTGGGTGCTGGGAATCGAACCTGGGTCTTCTGCAAGAACAGCCAGTGCTTTTAACTGCTGAACCATCTCTCCAGGTCCCATTTTCTCCCTCTCTGTAGGCTGCCTGTTCACCCCATTGATTGTTCCTTTTGTTGCCCAGCTTTTTTATTTCATGTAGAAGAAAACTGCGCAACTGCTGAGCTAAATACTTGGAGCTTAGGGGAACTATTTCCACTGAAACTACTATAGTGACACTGTGTAAGGTTCATATACATGTACACGTTTACATTAGGTCAAATTAAAATAACAGTACACTTGTTTAGATCTACTGAATTAAAAGAAGTAAAGACCAAACTTAATGCACTCTTATTTATAATTTGAATTATACCTGTTGAGAGAGTTTATCATGTAGAAGTATCATACAACATACATTTAAAGATGGATTAAAAAAACAAATCACAAACACAGGCCAACAACCGGACCAGCAGACCAAATGACACATAAGCAATTACTTAAAATCAATTGTGAACACTCTAACAAGAAACTAAAAAGAATCCACATTATCCAAAAAAAAATATTACTTTTCTATTTCTGTGACAAAATAATCTAAAAAAAATAAGAAAAAAGGATTTATTTTAGATTACAGTTCTAGAAGAGATGCAGCTCATCATAGAGGGGAACAGGGGAGCGGGGGCAGGAAGCTGGCTGATGACATTTTCATCTACATACAGGAAGTAGAAATACAGAACAGGAAGTGGGGCAGGGCTATGAACTCTCAAAGCCCACCTTCAGTGATATACTTTCTCCAGCAAGGCTCTACCTCCTGAAGATTCCTTAACCTTCCCAAACAATGCCACCAGCAGGAGACCAAGTGTTCCAATACACCAGCCTATGGGGGCATTCCTCATTCAAACCCCACAAGCATCCATGATTACATTTACTCACTGTTTCCTTGGTAGAAACATTGAAAGTACAAGAACAGGAATAATCAACTAAACACTGAAGGGAGACAGCCTTAACTGTTCTGAGTTCCACCCAGGAAGTCCCAAGCAAGTGTGTAAAGGAAAGGACATCTGGGTAGAGAGTCTTCTGGAACTCAACATTTCACTCTAGCTTGTCACTGGCAAGCACTGAGCATTTAATGATATTTAGGTAGAATTCAATTAATGGTTGGATGTATGCCCAAATGAATGCTATAATTGTGAAAGTTACCAAAGAGCAACTCTAAAGCAAAAGAAAGCCTCTGGATGGGGAGATGGCTCAGTTAGAAAGGTGTTTGCCTTGCAAGCCTGAGAACCATGAGTTTGAGTCCCAGAAGCCACATAAAAAGCCTGGCAGTGGCAAGGGTGTTTGTAATCCCAGGTCTGTGAAGGCAGAGACAGAGGCTACCTGGGAGCTTACTAGTCCAGCAGTCTAGCTTACTTAGTGAACTCCAGGCCAGGGACAGACCCTGGGGAATCACACTTGAAGAAAACAAGGGGACTCATACTTGAGGAACCACATCCAAGACTGACCTTTGTACACACACACACACACACACACACACGTAGCAAGAGATTTACACATTTGCTGCTGAGGGTCTGAATGTTTCCTATGTAGCAGCTGCTTTTAATTAGAAAATTTCTGAAGGTCTGAAGTTCCAGTGTCACAGAGCTAACTAGCATAGTATAGCCTTGCTGACAGCATCGCTAACAACTTTATTTTAGAGGCTAAGAGATAGTTTATTCCAAGCTAAAAGCTGCTTTTTTAGAAAATTTCTGAAGGTCTGAAGTTCCAGTGTCACAGAGCTAACTAGCATAGTATAGCCTTGCTGACAGCATCGCTAACACCTTTATTTTAGAGGCTAAGAGATAGTTTATTCCAAGCTAA